ATTGGCTTATATTTAAGCTTAGGCCTGGAGTATATATCTCGTAATGATTTATGCTTTCCTCAAACTTCAAATGTTGAAAGTTTGTTTGTTGAATTAATAACTAATTCGAGAAGCAAAAACATTATTATAGGCATTGTTTATCGGCCACCAAGTCAAAATGTTAATGATTTCATTAGTAGTTTAAATTCTCTCATGGGAATAATCTCCAAGGAAAACAAACTTTGTTATTTAATGGGCGACTTTAACCTAAATCTATTACACCCGTTTTCAAAATTACGCGACCTCCCTGAAAAATACTCCTACTTCAAATGTCAGTTTTATGTCAGAAGGACTGCTAAAAATAGCAAACGTAAACAAACTGTCTAAAGACATTTTAAACCGTATTTAATACCAAAACTGAACAAAAATTAGTCAGATAACTTAGATATACAAACTAAAGCATAATACAAACCATCACAACAGAAATATGTGCCGTGAATGCAGTAGCGGCGCCAGGGGGGGGCAAGGGGGGGCAAATGCCCCCCCAAAATTATTTTTTGCCCCCCATTTTGCCCCCCCTCAAAAAAAATTATTAGTCACTAAGAGCGACTAAAGGCTACACAAGCGTTCTGTCGTTATCGGAAAATGTATGGCTTATAAGTTGTCATTACTCATTAGTGAATGCGCGTATACATGAAACTGTTCTTTACAGTTTCAATATTAGTTTGTAAATCTCTGAATGGTAAAACTTGCCAATACTCCAATAATACGTTTCAAAAAAAAGACAAAAAACTTTAGTTTTGCAGAGTTAAATTCTCAAACGTGTAAGGCAATAATAAGATGAAAGTATCACGAAATTATTTGAATAAACCACATCGCATATATGGGGGGCGAATGTCCTAAAAAGGGGCGATATTCCTAGGGTATTCGCCCCACCCCCTGGGAGGCGATATTCCTAGGATATTCGCCCCCGGGGGCAATATTCCTAGGAATATCGCCACGTTTTGAGGGGGGGGGGGCGAATTTCCTGGGGGGCGATCTTTTTAAAAATTCTATCTTGCCCCCCCAATATTTGAGTTTGCCCCTCAAATGCCCCCCCAAATTTGGAAGCCTGGCGCCGCCACTGCGTGAATGACTTTTAAAGTTTGAAAAATAACAATTTATCCTGGAATATAGCTGTCAGTATAAAACACGCGCGCTAGACTATAACGGTGATGTTATGATTTTGTCGTGCTTAAATTTTACAATAATTCTCACTAAAATATCTTGAAAATCATTGTAAGTCTGTTTATATAAAGCATACAAAGCATATACATCGACAACGAACCGCAAAACTCAAAGTTTGAACTTCGTGATCGAATGACATAAAACTGACATGTCAACTCTAGCATTTTCGTCTTTGGTCGCGTAATTTTGAAAACGGGTGTAAATCACCACACTCATCAACTCACTGCTGAATTTTTAGATATTATGTTTGGTCATATGTTTTTCCCATAGGCGTACCGGGCGGGGGGGCGGGGGGGGGGGCGGCAGCCCCCCCAGTTTTTTGGGCAGTCGGGCAATATTCGATCAACAGTCGGGCAATTTTGGTTTGCAATAAAAAAAATGCGACAAATTCAGTCAATTTTGTCTAAAATTAAGTCAATTTTTTGGCAAATTATGTGACTTTTCGAAAATTTGTGTTATGTTCCGAAACATTTTGGTTGTCCGGAAAATTTTTTTGACCCCTAAAATGGTACACTGACCGAAATTTTTTTGGCGACGGGGGGGGGGAGGTCGCCAAAATAATGGTACTAGTCGGGCAGAATCCCGAAAAGTCGGGCAATTTTCTTTCCGCCCCCCTAATTTTTTCCTTCCGGTACGCCCATGCTGATTCACTCCCTTGCATGGAACATTACATTTCAATATGTTTTCAGGGGAGTGACGGCTTGTCTTTAGGGCACTTGCTAAGAACATGGCGCTTACGCTAAATTAACCTGAAGTGACCTATGTATGTAATTACTCTGTGCCTAGGGCTGGGCCAGTAGGTAGTTGTGTTGACGAAGTGGGTGGCTGTATAACTACAGTACATGCATGCATGTACTTTGACAGCCAGACAAATGAAACAACTTTCTACATACTGTAACTAAGAGGACTTTGATTTTACGATGTCTGGTGCACACTAAGAGTAACCAAATTATTATTAATCGTTTCACCAATAGCGGTGTCATGTTGAATTCGTAATTGTGCTCTATCCAGGGTACCAAGCCCCAATAAGCCCCAATCAGTAAAAAGGTGATAGTGTTGAGACACAATTAGTTAATTAATGTAATTTTTTTCTTTATAAGCACTTTTGTGGCAACAATGTTTAAATGTGATCATTGTGATAATACATATTGGTAAAAGCTATGTGATGATAACTTTACGACCAAATTTACCCAAATCATATAACACATAGAATTATACTGTTATGGTTCCCTATACTAATAACAATAACAATAACAAAAGTTATACTACAATCATAGACAAATTTACTCGGACAAACATGGCAAATAAATTTTTTTTTGAAACATTTTCATATATACTTCGTAAAGTCGGTCCCCCCTCCCCTGAAACAATGTTGATGAACACTTCAGTTATTATGGCAACTATTGCAGTATCTGTAGCTACAACATTGTAACGGGGGAGCGGGGAATACGGCTGAATATGCATATAATTAGTCAGTGACAGGGAGCGGGGAATACGGCCGAATATGCGTATAATTATTCGATTCCTTTAAATTTCAGCCATTTTTAATCAGCGTCCGCATGTTATTTGTCTAGGATTGTCTGAAAAACTGTCGGTTGTATAAAGCACAGAGGAGGTCGGACAAGCAGGCCGCAAAGCATCATGGGTTTGAGCGCCTAATTCCAGGCGTGGCTTCAATGACTCTTTGACTGTCGTGGAGTGAACATCTCTCTGAGTAAACAAATATGAAAGCATTCGAAAGACAAGATTGTCAGGCTGCAATACTTCGTGAAAATAGCATGTTATTGTTGCGATCCTCACTATGACGTGTGAGTTACTATACCAACTTTACCTTATACTAAATTGCATGGGACGTGCTGTCTTTTTATAGCTTTATAAATAATCCGCGAAGGAATTGTGTTATTTCCAATAGCAAGGCTGTTCTTTTTAAGTTGGATGGAATCTCCGTGTATCATCATCGTGAAAACATCCGCAGTATTTAAGGTTGGTATCCTACAATGCAATACAGTTGACTTGTTTCAAATTTCCGCTTTGCTGTTTTCAATATTGTACTGTAATTTTATAAATACACTGTACAAATTATGGCGTAATATTTCAAATATTAAATTCAACCCTTTAGTTTGACCCTATTCCTGCTGAGTTTGCTAATGAAAACATCCAGCATATGCTCTTGGATTTCGATGTGGATCATATCAGTTGACAGAGAATACAATTGATGATGGACATTGGTTTTCAGATGAGTCTGAAGGTATTGTTATTTGTATGTATTTTATAAATTTTTGCTGAGTATGCCTGTTTGTATCTAGTTGTGGATGGTTGTTTAAATGTGCAAACTGTAGTTTAATATTTTTCAATTTTCATCTAAATATTGTTTGTGTGTTGTTCTATTATGTTAGCACTATTTTCCATCCAGCAAACTGACCTGACGTCATTTTAGGAAGATAGAAGAGGTGTTAAATGGCTATGTAACTAACCTAAACCCTACCCCTACTTTAACCCCTAACCGCAACTCTAACCCTAACCGAATTAATACAAAAAACGACTTTAGAAAATCGATAGGGCGGTTTGCTGGATGGAAAAAAGTGCTAATTGTGTAAGATTGCTAATTTTAGAGATGACGGTGCATGAAATAATACTTTTCTTGTTATGATTTTGTAGAAAGAGATTTACTTGAGTTGTTGGCTGGTCATGAGCCTGTTGAAAGAGGTGATAGGGTAGAAAGTGATGACAAGTTAAGTGATGAGTAGGAAGAAATCAACCAGGCTGTACCATTCAAGTGCATCTGTGGGAAAAGGCATACCTCACTCTTCATGAACAAGATAAACCAGTGAATGTAAGAATACGGCCAGAGCCATTGAATCCAAGGGACCCAAGTGCAATAGCAATTGATCTAGACTATGGAACTGGATGGCCCCATGTTGGTTATATATTGCTTCTGAACTATGCACTGTATCCGCACCCATTAATTGCTGCAAGGGATGTTGTGGATGTCTAATATGTTCAGCATATCAAGTATAGGATTGACTTTTTTAAAATAGGATTTTATCCAAAACATTTTGCAGAGACATGGTTAGTGCATGGGAGACTTAAGTGGTAGGAAAAGCATGAGTGTATGTTGACAGATGTTTTTTTTATATAAATAATAGCAACTAACTATGTTTAGCAAGTTATTGAAGTGCATTTATTTCAATTGGCTAACTTTTTAGATTTTTTCCAGCATTTTTTAAACAAACCATGGGTTATAAATGATAACTTTCTATATCTAATTAAAACAATCTGTCATGTACACTCATGCAAAATAAGTACATAACTGTAAAAATGTGCTTTAGTAAGTAAATAAGTAATTTATCCATGCACTTGACCTTCTTTGTTTGTAATTTTCTCAGATTAAAATTAATGCAACAATAAAACAAGAAGATGTCTATTTATATAATTGCACAGGTCAATTCCTGGAGTAACCATCCCCCCGGGACACCCCTGGGAATTTGCCTAATAGACAGTTCACAGGGGTCGGGAATTTACCTGTCATATACATGTACAGGGGCCGGGTATTGGGCCCGGGTACGTGTACAGGGGCCGGGTATTGGGCCCGGGGATTTGACAAATGGTTTCACCTTTGCAAAACTATAATATTCCATAGCAGCTTAATAGTATAATGTTATTAAATGAATATGCCTATGATATGCATTCATCGTCCCAGGGGTGGGGCATTTTCCACTCTCAGCTTGCCCAAGGGCCGTGCATTAGTCTCCTACTCCTAGTTGTGTCCCGGCACACTTCTTCTATTAACTGTGCACTATCGTAACCAGTCAAATCAAATGCCCAGGTGTGTTCCCGGGGGGGGTGATGGTTACTCCTGGAATTGAATCGTGCATAATAAAATTGACCACAATACAATAAAAATACAATAAAAACTTGTTTTATTGTTTTAAAACAAGTGAATCTCTCTGCTGGTTTGAAATGGGCTGTTATAACACTGAGTTGTCCATGATGAGGATTCCGTAGCTCGATTTGCAACAAAAACCCCAGGATCAGGCGATCAGCTCGTATGGGAATATGTACACGATCCAGTCGCGACGGCCAAAGACAGAAAAAACTTTGAAAATCGCACAGATATAAATTCTACAAAAATATTGAAACAACTCCTAAGTCTTCTAAATAATATTTTAACACTTTAACAAAAATTCATTGAAAATATAATCTTTGATGGCACAAATTCTTTCCAA